TATTGTCGTAGAGATTTGATGACATGTTTTGCTGACAAGGGGCCAAAAAATGTTTTCTGTGGAGCTTGCGTACAAAAGTTAGAACTAAAAATAAAAAAAAAAAGAAACGCGGAAGTTATCTGGAAAATATAAAAGCCATTGGAGTTCATAGAACTGGCAGTCTCGAAATTTTGAGTTTTCTGGATAAATCCGAATCACCAAATGTTTTACCGGCGAGTTTTTTTTTGTGATTTTATCGGATTTATGAGGAAATGCGGAACCCTACTCCTAGGTTTCTTCCGTCTTCTTTTAGGTAGGCGGCAAGTCATAAATGTGACAAACTTAAATTGTTTTGACTGGGTACCTTGCTATTGCATACATTTCATCTGATATTTTGGATCACGGCCACAGCTGTTCCCCACTCCCCTGCGACCGTGATGTGTAGTGTTTGTAATGCTGTAAAAGGTTGCCTCTCGTGCACCAAGGACGGTGGTTCGGAATACCTCTGTACAGCAATGAAAAGAATGGTCAGTTTGGGTGTCGACGACCTAGAGATCTTTTGACATGCAACCGAAATCTCCATTGCAGGATGTCTTCTCTGTAATAAGCCTCCGACATAGTGTGGGCCTCTCATTCTCTATTCGAACTCATCGTTTTATTTTACATTATTCAGTGCCCCTAACCCTCCCTGCTGACCGCAACCCTATGTCGCTATACTCCGCGACAACTTTTCTTGGCAATGCAGTGGAAGGCACGTCCCGCGTTCCCTCTCCCATTTTGAGTGTACGAAGGCTCTCCTCCCCCCCCATTTCCGGGGAAAGGAGGAGAGCCTGCGTACACTCAAAATGGGAGAGGGGACGCGGGACGCACCTTCCACTGCATTGCCAAGAAAAGTTGTCGCGGAGTATACCAAGACTTATTTTGCTTTCCTGACCAGTGTGCATGCCTGCAGAAATGCACAGAGCTTTAGTGAGCATAAAGAACTGTCTCCACCTACAGACGTTTCCACTGTTTACAAAACTCACAGTCCACAGTGCTCAACTACAGTCCAGCAAGCGCATGCTCGCAACTTCCGGCCAGGCAGAAAACGCTTGTGCGAATAGCGCAAACAATGCAGTGAACGTGCCCCACGACACTTTTATGTAAATGCATATGGAAAAGCACATGGCGAAGGCAGGGTGTCTACGAAATTACTTTTTAAATTCCCTGGTTTTCCACGTTCTTCCCTAACCATTTCGATGAAATTCCTTGACCATTACTTCAGTTGAAGGAGCGCTCCTTCGACGGAAGATGGTGGCTTGCGCTTCAACCTGAGAACAATCTTTTAGCTCCACCCACAAGCGCATTGCGCCCATCTGAAGTGCCTCCGCCGTCGAGAAAGTAGTTCGCTAGCAACGTTGCTTTTTCTTCCTCCAGGAAACGTGTCTTAAACTACTACAATATTTATTTAATTCATTCAGGACATTTAAATAAGTTAGAATACGTTTTTGTCAACGAAATAGCTGTTTAGTAAAGAAAGAAAGTCATGTCCAATGTAACGTCTTCCCAATTCATTTTCTGTCCAAGATATTGTCTAACATACCGTCTTCCAGCGCCTTCGATTGAGGGAAAGTGGTGCTAAGCCTCGCGCCCGCTTCGAAATTTTCGTTGGCGATATCGTCGCTGGATTCTCACGTTGTCGCGCAAAACCTGCTGCAAACGCAAGCCGATACCATTAAGATCTCGTGGCGTAACCTCGGGCACGTAAAACACGGTGCGAAAAATCAGAATAATTGTCACGAGAAACTAGCGTCGCGTTGCTAAGGCCAGCAGCCATGTTGAGCTTTTTTTTTTTTTCAAAAGGATCGCGATTGGTCCACGGAGTCGTGACGTCATGAAAACGATTGGCTGGCGTTTCTCGGCGTAGGATTACATTTTTCTCTGAGAGGCATTTCCGGTTTTTTCTTACCTTGCAACCGACTATAGTGATGCTTCGGGCAATGGATGCACAAACCGTCGGCCTTCGTTGCACAACGCTGTGCCACTTTCACGGGTCATTTTCTCTTATTTATCCATCTTTTTGAGTTTCCCTGATAATTCCCTGACTTCTGCAGATGACCACAATTCGCTGACAGTTTGAGGTTTTCCAGAAAAGTAGACACCCTGGAAGGTTGCCAGCAAGAATTTCGGCTAGGTGTTGAACTAAAAGTGTTGTACGAAACTGTCCCACACTAAGGCTGTTAAGGGGTACTACGATGAAATTTCGGCGCTCATTTTTGGGTCTATATGTGTTCAAAGGAGCAGTATCACATCGAACGTACAACAAGTCTCGAAAAGGAATTTTAAAACGAATTAAACGATTAGCAAAGAGCACCTGGTGGATGTCGCTAATGCCTCGTTTGTAATGCTCGTCTAGGAACCTTGACAGCTAGTGACGGAGGCTGTCTAGCCTCCGGCCACGACGAAAGAAGAGTGGAAGCAGGAACTCCCCTCTTCCCGGGAACGCCTTTTGTGTGTCGTAGAAGTCGCTATTGTCCCCCTACAAGATTACAGAAGATTAACCCGTCACTCAAAATTCGTACAAAAGCAGCCGCTTCGGTGGCTGGAACGACTAGGCCATCCTCTGGACGTCAGTCTCGCCGTAGTTTTGCTCGTCCTGAGACGACCTACGTCAAGATTGCGTTGGATGTCACGTGGTCTCCGCTGGGCCTTCTCCGAGCGTTTGTCAGAGTAGGCCGTTTTTAACGAAAAATACAGCCACCAGGCTCAAAATACAAACGTGCGATTGTCTTTTAAGGATATTGTGGATCATATTCAACCTATTTTTGAACAGGACGGGAATATTTCAAATTTCGTTGAAGTATTCCTTTAAGTCTTCGTTATTCTTGTCAGATAAACAAGCTTCTTTCGCATGTCATTTATGCGCTGCGCGAGGTAGTCCGTACTGGATTTGGTAGTCACGTAAAGCTACGATGCCTTTCATGTTTGAGACATGCATGTTTTGAATGAAATAATAAATAACTGATGTTAAATTAAGACCACCGTATTTACCGCAATGGGAGGTTGGTAATGCTGTGCAAGGAGCAAAACGTCTTTTCTGTGGTTCTGGAGATGGAGAGTGTAGCAACATCTCTTGGGTGGCCTCTTGTCTCATCGTCTCTAGCGTTCTTGTGGTTATACATCTTTCTAATTTGGATTGTTGTAGCAGCATTTCTCTAGGATGGTCTCTGGTCCCACTGTCTATTGTTTAAGGATGTATATCTCCGTGTGTATTGAATGACCGTTGTCACAGCCGTTCCATCCTGGTTCCCTCTCTGGGAATAAGGATTGAGTGGTCATGCCTTTGTAGTATGGTCAGCTCAGTTTGTCTCTTGCTCATTATGCATTCTGGGCAATTGCAACCTTCAGTGAATTTATGAAGCATGCTTTTGCCAGTATTATTCTGTTTTTATGTGAGGTCTATACGAGTCTTTTTTTCTGCAGCATGGGAATTATGTGGGCCTGTTTAAAGTATTGTTAATAAACCCCAATAATTTTCTGTACAACACTAGCCAGATATGGATCGCATCGGTCATGGTAGTTATAGTTATTTCGAACTTTGTGCTCCTTCAGCTATGCGGTGCAGAGAAGTTTGTTAAACTCGTGGCTTTGTCTATGCAGGTCTTGTATGAGTGCATTTAAGTTGCTAAAACATATAGTTGTAATAAATGTTAACACGTATTTGAAAGCCTGCCTAACAAACCCGAAAGGTGGTTCCATTTGCAACATTTAAAAGGGTCGCAAAACTATTTTCAGAGTTCGGACAAATAACTGGCAGTTACTGTCACTAGTGTAATCAAGATCCAAAAAACGTTTTAGCCTAGGAGCGCTACTTTTTATTTTAAAAAATAAAAAGGATTGGAGTGTGTGGTGCCTCTCAACTCTTTCACCAGTTTCCAGGTCACGTGCGTTGTGATGCGCTGCTGGGATACAAACTTCCGGATTTTTTCTATCTTTGGCACCCCCAGTGAGCATTCTGCACCAGCGAGAGCAGGCTCTCTTGCCTCGGATTAGCATTCTTAACTTTTCAGTTTTTTGGGCACAGTGAAACACTGCAGCCAGTCGGCAAAGCGAACCTTCTTCCCACACGAAACAGCAAGAAGGGGACGCTTCTGTGTACTTTAGGTAGATGGCGCCTCTAAAACATTGTGTAATAAAAGCTTGCCAATAATACGAGACTTCCGACGCCATTTCTTTACATTCAGCAACAACATTTATAAATATTCCTCGCAAGGGCAACTCCGCTTCAGTTTTGTTTTTGAGAAAACAGTGTAGACCTCTTCCGTATCAAAGTTTCGGGGTCGGTTTCGATTCATGTTTAAAACCAGATTGCACAAAAAGTATTTGACATTTCTCGAAACAAATTATATGATGTCGTTTTGTAGTACTTTCCAAGTTGGAATCAGTCATAATCCCAATATGCCTGAAGTGAAGCAGAGTTGTCCTTTAAATTGAGCAGATACTTGATCAACTTCCTAACTCAGTACACTGTACCCACGTGACTGTCACCCGCCGCAACAACACATCGTGGTACCCGTGGCCACCGTATGCGGCTGCAGGTCAGAAAATAGTCCATATTTCCCTTTGCGATTACGCAGCGCACTTGCGACATTTCGAGGGAAGAGGGCGTGTTAAATCTTTTACTAAGGTGGACAAAATAAAGGATAGAAGCTGCAGATTCTTTTTACATTAAAATTGATTCATGACCCCTTTAGAATCGTGCAAGTCTAAAGAACTACTCTTACTAAATCATGATCATCCACAATTTAGTTTCTATATTTGCAATAAAATTTGTGAGCCTAAGCAGCACACCTGGCATTTCACTTTATATTCGACATTTGTTGAAGTGTGTCTTGTTTCCATGCATGTATCATGGTGAAACACGGGAGTTGTTGCACAGATGATGCCATCCGAGGTGCGTAAATGTGTAGCTGTTAAAAGAGCCGTTTTGGTTCAGGAAGCCCACAGCGTGGTGCAGACGTCCCTCACTGTAGCTTCCGCAGCTACTTCTTGAGGCCAGGCCCATCCTCCACCACATAGAAGCCGGCGCAGTACTTCTTGTAGGAGACATACCGGCCGAGTGCGATGAGGTCTCTTCGTCGCCTGATGCGGCCAGTCAGGACTTCCGGAAACAGGGCATGCTCAGCGAAGTACAGCAGTCCTGGCAGGAGCTCACCCTCGACAAACTTCTCGTCGAAAACGATGGTCTCTGTGTGCGTAGAGCGGGCGACCGTCTTGTTGTTGGTCCAGGCAACAAAGTCGCACCACTTGTGTCCAGTCACAGCCATCTGACCCTGAGCCTGGTAGTAGTAGGCATGACGTTTCTTTAGGCGGATCTCTCCACCAACTTCCTCGCAGCGAAACTCCTTGTCCTGCTTGCACGCCTCCAGAGGTGCTAGCCCCACCTTAGATGACGGGCACTTCACCTCCAAAAGGCCCTCTTCGCCATCCGTGGTAACGATGCGGTCCGATGAGGCAGCCACAAAGCTGTACACAGGATGGATGTGGAGCCCTGTCTCGTGCACCTCCAAAGAGTCAACCTGCGCACCCATGAGTTGCTCGTAGGCAGCAACGGCTTCGCCCTCGTGCATCCTCCCGTAACGCATGGCCTCACTTGCAGAGTCTGGGCTGGGATACAAAATTCCCTTCACCAGATATTCTGGCTTCACGCACTTGATGACTTTGGAAAACACTGATGCTGTGATTCGCCCTCACCGTTCCTCATGCCACCTGGGGTTGTCGGCTTGGCCGATGGTGGACCGCGTGACCTCTGCCCACTCTTCGTCGGTCAGTGGAGGTAGGGACTCTGCGTGCTTGTAGACAGCGTCCCGGGCGTTCCTGCTCCACAGGTCCTCATCGTCGGCTATTGGCAGTGGTGGCCTCGCTGGTCGGGCTTCCTCGACACCACTGAACTCGAGCCATAAGAGGCCTGGTGTGCGAATGCGGAGGCCATCCCGCAGAGCCTGGATCTGCTCTGACGATGCACCGCCAACAGCCTCGCAGGGGTTGTAGGATCGTCTCTTCTTCTCCCTCACTGACCGGTTTACCAAATACTTGCAGAGTGTGATGTCTGCAAGCGGCTGCAGAGGAGCAGGTTTCTTGGCTGCAACGAGAAAGGTTCACCTGTCAGTGCTGCCCAGCTCTAATGATGTGTGACATCTGTGTTTCACATTTCATAGTCATGCGGATGGCGCATAATCGCTCAAACTGCTTTATGTAGAGGGTATTTGTTAATTTGGAAGGTGTAAGCGACCTCGAGCGATTGACCCATCGCTGTAATTATAGAGCCCAAAAGGGAGTGGATGGTCGAGTCTACATATTTAAAAAAGTGACAGAAGTGAGCCTGACCCTCCATCGACAGTCAGAAATTTAACGCTTGGTGTTGCTCAAGCGTATCTGGAAGTAATCTCTAATGTACACACCTTGAGGAGGCACCGCCCAAATGCAGGGTATGTCAGTGCAGGAAGTGCCACTTGCATTGCAGCTCTCTTCTGCAGTCAGTAGGAGTGCTGCAATGTGATGGCAGGTCTCGCTGAGCCTGTAAAATATAAAAGGGCAACATTAAATGAGCAGCTCCATAACTACTAACAATGAGCACAGAAATAAACTCGTCAGATTCTACTGCCCCAAAGCGAGCATGCCGGTTTTCATCGCACATAGACTACGCGTGTTTGATATAAACGCACGTGCATTAATTCTTCACTCTATCTGAACCAAGGCGCTCGCACTTCGGGGAAATAGGGGAACATAAGGGCGTTTTGTAAACGCTTTTGTCGCGCGTCGAGCAGAGTGAACCCCCAAACCAGCCCGGTTCGATCTGGATGAGCTTCGCACCGGCGTGCATCACTCTGATTAACTGTCTGACAAGCGAGTGCGAACGTACCGTGATAATTTGTCATTATATAATACTTTGTTTTAGTATTACATGCTATGTCATCTGTAAGCTAAGCATCACTCACCCAGCAACACAGCTGCAACTGCCGCCCATGATGCGCCCGGTGCCACTGGCAAACCACGCCGAGACGGTGTACAGCGCCTTCTTTATGGACGGCAGGAAGATAGCCCGGACCAGGCATATCTGGGAGTCGTCCGAAGCGTTCCATCTCACGTTACGGACGTAACCTTCTTCCTTAAAGGCCCATCCTCGGTTGACCTGCCAAAACGAGTCGGTCTCTCGGCGCAAATACCGCCAGACTTTGTCTTGCGACAGGCTCGTGAACTGCGGAGGCTTCTCGGTCCAGCGGTCCGGTTGAAACGAGAACGGAATGCGCTCGTCCTCGGCCATCGCTCGCGGTCCCCGAAGAGCAGCGGATAGGCTAGGAGCTCACGTGTAGGCACAAAGTACCTGAAAACGCGGAAGAAATCAAGCCTAATGGCGGTCGTGCTTGCCTACCGCGATAATCCGTTCTTACCCTCAAACCAGGTTTCTACTAGTTCGCCGAAATATCACCAGGTGGCTCCACAGCTCCGGAAAGAAGGGGATTATGGATGTCTTCCGCCTTCCTCGACTTCGATGCACCATTGTCCGCCGACATTGACCGGCGACACCGCGGCCGAGGATGTCCGGCCCTTCCGTGTGTGTGCCGCGTGTGGCTGAGTGCGAGGGAGAGGGAAATGGTGTGCCTGGACGTTACAAACAATGAACCCTGGGGATTCCCTACTGGGGATGTTGAGAAAGGTGACAGACCTTTGTCCGGAAGTGCTCTTTTTAGCCTCGACCGCAAGGAGCAAAAGCGAACAATAATCTCGAACCCAGACGCTCACGGGGAGGGGGGGCTGCGTCGGCCTGCACCGCCGCTTCCCGTTGAGGGCTGCTTCGCTGGTGTGCCGACTGCAGTTTCGCCGGCATCGGTCCTGTTTACCGCGGTATGTGAGTATAGTGCCCGTAATGTGAGAGCCGTGTGTCCATACGCCACTTTGCCGCTGTTGGTTTCCATCTAGCCGAGCCAGAAAACATCTCGCGACGAGTTGATCGCGCCGCGAGTGACGAAGAAGCAAACATGGCGACGGTTTGTGCGATTGCTTTGGTGGCTCCGGTGTTGAGTGTCTTCAACGTCCTCGTGAGAAGATTCCCCTGCCCTTCGAAGTTATCGCAGGCACCGCGAGTGGCACGAAAGATGTGGAATCATCGTCTCAACTACAAATAAGCAGGCCTGCACGAGCAACAACGACGCCGAGCAGGCGCTCGGCACAGTTGTGTCGTCAGATGTTCTACAACGCCGAGATATTTTCATTTATCATTTGGAATGGCTTCAAGAGTGGGAAATTAATCTATTTCGCAGATTGTTAACGCCGAGGTGAGTGCCCTCCGTTGCAGTGCCGTTGTCGCGCGAAGTGCAGAGTAAACCGGGTGGCGATGGCGGCGGTGCTCTTTGATCGCTTTGATCTTGCGCCATCGGGTTCATGGAGTCCGGAGTAAACGTACGTACGTGCGTCTGCTGGATCGGTGTTTTGGACTGCCACAAAACTCTTTCTCGCGGGAATTTACCTTGTGAAGCTTAGTAGCTCATTACATTTCGTCGTCGACTGCGCTCATTTGACTACGACGGACGAGCCTGCGTGATGTAAATTTCACTGCCTAAGATCCTTGGTGTGCTATAACGAGGGCTAATAAAATATCACCGCGAACTTCTGAACAAACGAGTCGAAGTTTCGTCTGTTTTCATAACTGATCGCCTGTCACAATATTAATCAGTAGCGTTCCTAGACTCCGTTCCCACAGGCACCCTGCTTCGTTGCCCGATAGTAAGTGTCTCCTGGTACCTCGTAGAATTCCAGCTCCCACTTCAAGTAAGTACTATCCTTTAGAACTGGCAATTAATAGTTTCGAACCCAGACGCTCACAGCGTGTGTGTGTGTGTGTGTGTGGGAGGGGGGGGGGGCACGTACTAACACACTCGGAGCCCTCGTTTTCGCCGCTTCACGGCGGCAGACAAGGCGGCACATTACAAAAGAAAGCTAATCCGAGCTGTCTATGGAACTAGACCCATTCGCTAGTCGTTTGATGAAACGTCGTGGTCTCGTTTTCATTCGCTAAAACGGCGTTCGATCAAGTAAACGCCTCCCACTTATTTCGGCTCGGCAGAGCCGCAGAAAGGCAAGCAGATCGCGAAAATCGGTCTCCACCGTACCACGAATGTAATGTCGTATACAAGAAGCCGACAATCAAGCATTTGAAAGCTACAAGAAAGCGGCAGTGAAATATTTACTACGCAATGAACCCGGACTGAAACGCGGATGTCAAGGGTCAGCAGACACCGAGAACATTTAAGACAAGAAAGGTTTTTTCTTGTTTTCTCGATCGAGATGGGTTCTCGAATGTTCACGACATCTTATCTGTTGAAGAACGGGTCGCGGAGGCTTCTGGTGAAGACATCTTTCACGATGTGCCGGTGCATTCGGACAGCCTGCCGCATCCAGCTCCCCAAAGCAACGCAGCCCCCCCCCCCCCCCCCCCCCTCCTGCCTGCCAGTTCTCTCCGCGTGGTGGCGCAAGTGTAGATAAACATGGCGGCGCCCTGGAATTGGCGCGGACACTGGTCTATAAAATGAGTAGCAGGCCTCTGCTAGCGTGTGAGGGAAGGAAGTGGCCGAGTGGGCTAACGCGTCTCAGCTCGGAGCGTGGAGCGAAAGCTTGCGCTGGGAACCTCCTGGGTTCGATTCCCCACCTCCCCCGCCCGTTTTGACCTGGATGAGTTTCGTACCGGCACGCGTTCGTGTGATCACTACTGCGTGATGCAAGTTAAAAATCCCAGGTTAGCGGTTGTACTGCACTGGCGAAATTTCTCATGTACAGCTAAGAGACCGCGATTACCCGTTGTGGCGTATCTCCATCAAGGCTGTATAAGCATACAGAGCAAACCAATTTTTTTTTTTTGCTAGCGTGTGTTCTCGACAGTGCTCTGTTAACAGTGTTCTCGAGCGCTCTCAAGCGCTCTCCCGTCAAATGATGTAATCTGTCCATATGTATATATTCAGAGTTACCTATATAAGATACACCCTTCCTGCTCCCTGGTCCTTCCCGAGTCCGGCCTCCACATGAGTCGCTGTCCTGGCTCGTTTCCCTGCCGTACCCAAAGTGCCCGGACAACCTCTCAGTCCCAACAGGACTCGGCCTAGCACCCGACGAGTTTAGCGACCTTGGACATAGTATGGCCACGGAAAGGATGCTGGACGTACGGCCCCAGGTTCTCAAAAAAGGAGCTGTTATGAGGGAACAGCCACCGAATCTATCATGAAACGTCGGGAGCGCACACTCTAAGAAAAAATGGAGGAAAAAAGTACCAACGGCGCGTCTTCCTCCCTTCTACTGACGCGCCCCCAAGCGGACACGAGAAAAGGGGAGGAACGAAACGTTCTTCTCCTTCTCCAGGCAGACGGGAGAAAACTTTCGCCCTCCCGACTCATCGTCTTTCGGTTTCGTTTTTCGAGCAGGTCGCGCACGTTGTTTAATAAATAGCTGTTGAGTTAATTGAGCTTCAGCGGCAGCGAAGGCCGCGTGTAATTCCGTCTTCTAGTCTAAACGTGCAGAACATTTCGGTTGCATTGATGTTTTTATCACTAATTTTATCAAACGAGCAAACGAAGCCGCTAGAAACAGCGAAGTT